CAATCCTAATATAAAGAAAATAAAGAMAAATACAACAGAGCTGAAAAGTGATTTCTCAAACTGAAGTTATTTGCTATCTTCATACTTTTATAACATTCAGACCAAACTGCCTGCGAGCTGCACATCAGTTAAACAATTAACACATTATATTACTCAGTTTGCCCTACAGTAACACTGAAGTAAACACATGGGCTCAATAAAGAGAGAGATGTAGGTAATCGTCAGAGCACCATGTATAGTTTACACCCCAGCCTTTTAAATCACATAAAACACAGCGTGCATTTATGATTTATGGCTATATACTGATTGAATTAAACTCTATGATTTTCCCCCCATTTCACACACTCAAAATGGAGTCGRGCTGTCTCAAAAATCAATGTTTCCCCTCACAGAGAGAAAATAAAAGCCCATACATCTGTTTCACACATCCAGCTCCAGCCACATTCTTCTGCGTCTGCCAAAACCTTTTAGGGATGCACGGCACTCGATGCCAGAGTTAGTGTAGCTGTTCGCCGCGCAGAGAGGGAGTCCAGATTTTAAACACAACACAGTCATCGATCTCAAGGGGGGGGTGGGACCACTCAGACCTTGACGGGGGCAAGCGTTTTGTCAAAAACGCGGAAAGTAAAAAACCGAGCCGCACTGGCAACGCTGCAGCGATGATACGCACTGTGAAAATTTTATTCAGTTTTACTTTGCGAGCGAATAAAAAAAAGGTGAAAGTGCTGTCAAAGTTAAGGGAAATGTCACAAGGAGCAGCCAGAAGCAAAACGAGCATCTACACTCAGCCTGCAAGAAGAAAACTCCTCTTCAGGAGGGAAGCAAAAACATAGTAAAAAATCCCCAGTTAAAAACGACACTAAGGCAACCCTAACATGATTTGTAGCSTTTCTGGGTGTTGTTAAAGGGCTAAATGCAATTCTAAACAGATTTGATGGTCCCTGCCCTGCAGAGGACATTTAATGTTCAGAGGTGAACGCCCCGCAGTCAGAAACACTCACACAGTTTATGTCGAAACGGCACAATGGAAAACACTGTGGATACTTTATTTTTATGAACGTGTCAAAGATTATTACTGACCTAAAAGGCATTAGCTGACGGAGGAGCGGCCTGTTGATCGTTTTAAAAAACATACTACTGCAATGCTTTTACTTCGCTCCGATTTTTCTTTTACAGTTATATGTGATTAATAAAAATTATATATTTGTCAAAAAAAAATTCCTAAAGGCCCTGTCACACGACTTGTTCAAATTTTGTTGTTCTTTTATATTATATTTTATTATTATATATTGTTGTAG